CCGTAGGACTGCACAGTGGTTGAACTTTGAGAAGCTTTCATTCAGGGAATGGGATTGTCTCTCAGCGTGCATGAAACACCTTTCAACACCTTTCAGACTGTGCTAAGTCCAACCTCATTCCATCGTTCCCCAGTGATAGCCACTGAGATATGTATGGGGCAAGTAGGGGATTGCTTGTTTGCTAAAGTGCCTATTTGCTGCCCCAAATGACCAGTGTGGTTCTGGATTCAGGGCTTTGAGTGTCACTAGCCAGAGACCCACTGGCAACACAAAAGTTCCGTGTGTTGATGTCAAGAATGGTACAATCCTTATTGTCTAACTACCTTGTCCAGAGTCATCTGCTGGAGCCGGCCAAAGAAATTCCATGGCAATGCGTGTCTGGTCTTCACTTTGCACCCGGGGTGGGCAACACAAACTTAATAGACAACAGTGCCAGGTTGATAACATTGAAATAACAAAGTGGAAGGCATAATTAGCAGCCTGTCCCTGGGGTGTATAGAGAGGAGAGATTCCACTCCATCATGCATGCTCATAACACATAGCGCTGAATTAAGGTTCGGGAGAAACCAGTGCTTGGGCAGATGGTTGCGTCCTCAAAATATGATGGCTCCATTTGCTACCTGCCCACCGTATGTGACCCTAGCCTGCTTCTCCGATGGCAGTCTAGCAACCCTAGTCTGCTTTAGTTCCTGCTCCAGCCAGGTCCTGTTATATATGTGTATTGTAGTCAGGCTAACACCTTGCTGGACATTCTTCCAGCATGCCCCTTTTCATGCAGGCATGCCTTTTTCCTGTTGACTGCAACGCCTTGGTGCATGGCACAGCAACAAGGCAATCAGGCCTATGGCTTGTACGGCCTTTTGGATGCCTGCAATCGCCTACCTCGCATTAGGCAATGGAAGCTGGGATGTGTTATCGTTTTCAACTGTAAGGTCCCCTGGGACAGCTTTGCAAGAACTCTGTGGAGGTCCTGTGGGAATTGCCCATCTGCAGTCAGTCTGGTGGTGTGAAATAGCCACAGCTCACTGCAATTCTGTTCTGCATCTCACGTAGGCCTGGAGTAGTTTACAGGAGGGGATTTACATGGTTTTGATTGGGCATTCCCAACCCTTTCTATACTGGACTCTCTCCCGCATGAGCAGCTGGTAGTGTAAGCAAGGGAACGTGTTGCCTTCCCAAAATTGTCTTCAATTCCCATCACCCCAAAAGGGGCTGAGGCCATGCTGTGTGGCAGCCCGGCTCCCCAGTGGCCGGGAAG